GGTCACCCCGCTCAGACATTTGCAGGCACAAAGCCAGAAGGGATGAGGTGGCCTTGGAGCACCCTAGAGCCCACCACCCCTGTTTCTTGAGGATGTTGGCCCATGTGAGGGTCCACTGGCCAAATTTTGGTGGCATGCTGGTTCCTAAAGGTTTCCATCACCCAGTGCTGGTCAAAGAGCCTGTGGTGGATCCCTGGGGTTGTCCTTCTTGGGGAGGTTTCCTGGGTATGCAAAGTCCCCCACAGCTCCTGCTAGTGATCCTCCCTGCCTGATCTCTCCCAGGCCCTATGGGAAGAATGTTCCCCGCCTCAACTACTGGCTGACCTATGAGGGCATCATGAAGAAACACGGTGGGAGACCACACTGGGCAAAGGTACTAATGGCTCCTCTGGGAGGAGAGGGTCTGTGGACGGGGAGGTCCCTTCCCCTTTCCCATCATTGCTCCTCATGGGAGGGGAGCTTGCAGTGGAGTGGGGGTCAGAGAAGGGCCCCCACATCAGGCTGATCCCAGAGGGAGGTGGCTGCCTCAAAGAGGTGGCATTCCCCTGTTTGCTACCCACCTCAGGCATTGTGGATAAAGGGATGGAGGTCCCACCACTTCTGCAGGGGCTTCCAACAGCATGTGAAGGTGGGGGTCTAGGGCCAGCAACATGTTCCTTACTGATGGGCACCCCTCCCGCCCCCCATGACATTTTCTCTCTTGTAGGCCCATAGCTGCACCCGGAAGGACTTCGAGAAGATGTATCCAGCTTTCCCCAAATTCTGCTCTGTCCGGGAGAAGCTGGACCCCACAGGGATGTTCCTTAATGCCTACCTGGAAAAAGTGTTCTACTGATGGGGGCAATGTGGGGGATGGAGGCAAAAAGTCAAAATCAGCCATCAGCCCCAGTTCTCAGGACAGTGTCTTGGAAGCTCACAAAACCAAGCCAGGATGACAAACAAACAAGAAATCATAGCATCATAGAATCATAGAACTATTCAGGTTGGAAAAGACCCTTGGGATCACTGAGTCCAACCATCATCCCTTCTCTACAAAGTTCTCCCCTAAACCAACACCACATCCAAACGACCCTTAAACACACCCAGGGATGGTGACTCAACCACCTCCTTGGGCAGCCTGTTCCAGTGTCTGACCACTCTTCCTGTGAAAAAATCCTTCCTAATGTCCAGTCTAAACCTTCCCTGATGCAGCTTGAAGCCCTTCCCTCCTGTGCTGTCACTAATTACCTGTGAGAAGAGACCAGAACCAACCTCTCTACAGTGACCTTTCAGGTGGTTGTAGAGACTGATGAGGTCTCCCCTCAGCCTCCTCTTCCTCAAACTAAACATTCTCAGCTCCTTCAAGGGTTCTTCATAAGATTTATTCTCTAGGCCCTTCACCAGCTTCGTTGCCCTCCTCTGTGCTCACTCCAGCACCTCGATGTCTCTCTTGGATTGAGGTGCCCAAACCTGGACACGAAATTCCAGGTGTGGCCTCAGCAGTGCTGAGGACAGGGGACAATCACCTCTCTACTTCTGCTGCTCACACTGTTTCTAACACAAGCCAGGATGCCATTGGCTTTCTTGGCCACCTGGGCACACTGCTGGCTCATATTCAGCAACTTGTCAATTAAAACCCCCAGGTCCTTTTCTGCCAGACACTTTCCAGCCACACTTCCCTGAGCCTTGAGCGTTGCCTGGGGTTGTTGTGGCCCAAGTGCAGGACCTGACACTTGGCCTTGTTGAAGCCCAGACCATTGACATGAGCCCAATGATCTAATCTATCCAAGTCTCTCTGTAGAGCCTCCCCATCCTCATGCAGATCAACACTCCTGCCTTGCTTGGTGTCATCTGCAAACCTACTGATGATACACTCTATGTCCTTATCAAGATCATCAATAAAGATATTAATCAGAAATGGTCCCAACACTGAGCCCTGAGGAACACCACATGTGACTGCACCCAGCTGGACTTGACTCCACTGACCACCACTCTCTGGGTCTGACCATCCAGCCAGTGCTTGATCCAACAGATCATGTGCTCATCCAGGCCATGAGCAGCCAGGTTTTAATGAGAGTTCTATGGGGAACCGTGTCAAATGCTTTTTGGAGGTCCAGATGGACAATATCTGCAGCCTTTCCTTTCTCCAATAGTCAGGTCATCAGGTTTTAAAAGGAGATCAGGTTCATCAGGCAGGACCTGCCTTGCATAAACCCATGCTGACTGGGCTTGATCCCTAAATGGGATGAATTTTTTTTTCCCTCACAAGCTGATGATAAAATCAAACTAAGTTTTACTTTAACTGAAACTGGTTTGAGACTCTGTCAAACATCAATAACCCACAGGTTCAGAAGGTTGTTCAGAAGTTAATACTACACAGACAACTTCAAATTCTTAAGGTTAATGGCCAATAACCCAAAATGGGCCATCACTCACCCAATGAAGAAGGAGTCAAGTTTTCACCCAGAGGGAAAGCTCCTCTCTCCAGAGGGGGTGAAGTCTGCAAGAGGTGCATACAGGAGAAACCTGGACAAGTTCTTCCTGGTGAGCAGCACAAGTCTGGCACACTCTATGAGGCTGAATAACATATTGTCCTGCAGTTGCCTTCACCATCATCTCTGTTTCTATCCCTCAGTAATCATTAACAAATGCTTTGAGGTCTGGGATTGAAGTGACAGGGTATATTTCTGCTCCCCAGTCAGTGTTACATCAGCTTAGCAATGGGAGTTTGATGCTGTGCTTCAGCTTCACAGTAATAGTTTGATGTCCTGCAAAACCCAGGGGTGTGAGTGAGATCATAGAATCCCAGACTACTTTGGGTAGGAAGGAGCCTTGAAGATCATCTACTCTAACCCCTCTGCCATGGGCAGGGACACCTCCCACCAGACCAGGTTGCTCCAAGCCCCATCCAACCTGGCCTTCAACACTGCCAGGGATGGGGCAGCCACAGCTGCTCTGGGCAGCCTGGGCCAGTGTCTCACCACCCTCACAGCAAAGAATTTCTTCCTAAAAATCTCATCTCAATCTCCCCACTTTCAGTCTGAAACTGTTCCCCCCTCAATCTATCACTCCCTGCCCTTGTAAAATGTCCATTACTCCAGCACTACCAAGGCCACCACTAAACCATGTCCCTCAGCACCACAGCTACATGACTTTGAAATCCCTCCAGGGATGGGGACAGCACCACTGTCCTGAGCAGCCTGTGCCAGGGCCTGAAAACCCTTTCCATGCAGAAATTGTTCCCAATATCCAATCCAAGACTCCCTGGGCACAACTTGAGGCTGCTTCCTCTTGTCCTGCTGTCGGAGTTACACGGAAATGACTCCACACAGACAGTAACTCAAGCAAACTTTAATTTGTAACTGAAATCTATCAGCCAAAACCAAGACAAAAGGGGTAACTCAAACAACACTCCAGTAATGTTTAATGAATGACAGGTTTGATGAACCCATCAGGGCCGTTATTATCACAAGATGACACAAGAACAGTGACTCCTGGGCACGCACACACCCACTCACCAGAGGTAAACGCCTCATGGAGAGTCTCCAGCAGATGGAATCACTCATCCCCAAGGGTTGGGGCTCACTCCAGGATTTCTCCAGAAGAAACAGGCCCTCATGGAAAGGAGGGCGAGGATACTCCATCCCAGGAAGGTTCCCTGTGTCCCAAGTCACAAGGAAGGTTCCCGACAGCAGCCCCGCTGCTCTGAGATCACTCGGCCTTCCTCCCGCTCACCTCCTACTTACAGCCAGGCTGTTCTGACCCACAGTCCCCAATTGGTTGGGGTGCAGCCTCTTGGCTGTGGACCCTGTTTGTTGGCCAAGGGGTCCTGCCCTCCCTGCTGACCCCACAGGGGCACGTGTGCAGGTGTGGGCAGCCAGACCTGGCCTGTGTCGGGGGCTGTTTCTGCTGCCAGACCCATTGCTTGTGTCTTGGGAGAAGGGGCACACAGTATTTTCAGGTGGTCATAAAGAGCAGGAAGGTCTCCCCTCAGCCCCTTTTCTGTGTGTGACCAATGGACACGCTGACACAACAGTCAGGGCCTTCCCAAAGGACTGTTGAACAGCTTTTTCCCATCAGCTTTTCCACTTCTGTCTTGGGGTTGTTCAGTCTGGAGAAGACTCCAATGAGACCTTAGAGCACCTTCCAGTACCTGAAGGGGCTACAGGAAAGCTGGGGAAGGACTTTTGACAAGGACAGGGAGTTTCAAGATGAAGGAATGATTCAATGATTCTATGATTTCTCCCTACTCAGTGCTCCCCTCAGGTATTTCTCCCTTGCTCGTGAGCTTTTCTGTCACCAGAAAAGTGTTGTCCTTGGTGTTAAATCTCTGCTGTGAGGCTGGCTGTCTGCTGCCACCATTTCTCATTTGGAGAACCAGAGGTTCTGCCTTGCTTTCCTCTGGAAATAATACACCCATTCTGTTGGGCCATTTTGCAGCACTCCCTCAGCAGCTCTTTGGAGTAATTTTTAACCAGGTGTGATTTTCACAGGAGCACTTAAAGTACAAGCCAATTTTTTTTCTGCATGTTTTTATTTTACTAGCAACATCCAGAGTATCAAAAGAGTTATAAGGGCACAGGGAACACCAGGGTACATTTGGTGTTTAAACATGGTGGGTTATGGGGTGAAAGACTTATCTCTACAAGCATTAACTAGCACCGAGGTGTGATGGCTGAGGGAATCACATTAACCTGCTCATAGACATGGATGCTGATTCCACTCCTCCTGGGGAAGTGTCAACCCCATGGTCCTGGGTGATGCCCATCACAAGCAGACAAATTTGGAGCACCATGGGATCAGTGCTGAAGCGTGTGGGACTCATCATGGCATGCAGAGGAAAGGTGCTTGGGGAATGTCAAAGACTCTTACTTGCACAGTTCTTTGCAGTGCATATGAAGTGCCTCAGAAATGCTTTTATAGGGGGAAGAATTCAGTCAGGTGATTGCTTATCAGCCCACAGAGTAAACATAGCCATGAATAATAAAGCCAAAATCATCTGAGATGATCCCTGCAGCACTCTAAGCATTTCCAGTTGAACGCAGGTTCTCGTGAATGTTGCGGATAGAGTCGAACTCATCCCTGAAATCTGAAAAAAAAAGGAGTCTGTTAAAGACAGCTAGACATCTGCTGCTTGTTCACAGAAAATCTCTCCCCTTTCCTTGCTCTTGAAATGATCTCCCACCCTCACCGAGTTCCTTTCTCCTATGGGGTTTGGTTATTTGCTGTTTAAGGTCTGGGAATTGGAGCACGGGAAGGAGAAGGTGACTTGCATGAGAACAAGCAGCTTTTGGGCAGTGCCACAGCTGGGAAGTCCTGTTGTCCTGTTGCCTTGCCCTGATGTACCTCCAAAACTGGGGTGTGGGACCTGGGGCCACAGGCAGTGCCCAAGACATCCCCCCCTCCCCAAGCCGGTGCACTGGGACTGTACCTGGCAGCTGGCCACTGAGGTGGCTCCATGGGCAGAAGGCGAGGCTGAGCACATCGGAAAAGTCCTTCCTCATCTTCCCAATGATCTCCCCCTGCAGCCATCACACAGCCGAGTGCATGAGCCACAGACAGAGCTTGGTGCCCCTCACCCAGCTGACCCCCTAGATCCCCTGTTCCTGCCTGCTGGGCTGAGGAGTTGTCAAATGCAGAGGCAGCAACTTTGAGCTACTCCAAAGCCCAAATCAATATGAGTTTGAGGACAGGAGTGATGCGGTTGCCAATTATGGAGGACAACTGCTAGTCAAGATAGATACTTGTGAGCAGACACCGAGTGCAGGGCTCAGATTCACATCAGTGTGTTAAGCTAGGTCAACCATGGTGAGCAGCCCTGATGGATTAATGACATCAGTGACACTTGTGGGCACCACTGGAGATGGCTCCTGCCAGCAGTGGCCTCCCAGGGTATGTGAGAGCCTCCTGATGCCAAGGTCTTGCAAGGAGATGCCTTCACATTACCACACACATGTTCACCAGATCCTTTGTTGAGACGTTGTCCTCTACCCCCAGACACTGCCCATGGCTGTAGAGAGGTCCCTGAGGAACAAGAAGGTGCACAACTTACCTTCAGGCTTTCAAAGTGGCTTCTCATGCTTGCCTGCACTTTTTCAAACATCCCCTTTTCCAGCTCTGTCTTTACACCCTCACTAAGGATGGTTTGCATCCTCGCGTAGGCTTGTGCTCCTCTTTGGCTGGCAGCATCTGTTGGTAAAGAGGGGACTTGTCACACTGAGATCCAGGCCCAACATGCCCATGGGGAGGAGGACTAGTGGTGGGTTTGGGAAAGGAAAATGCAGTGCTTGGCACTGCTGTGCTGGAGGTGACCCATCTCCATGACACTTCCCTGCTCAGGCTCGGCTAACTGGCCCAGCAGCCCATTTTCAGAATTACCTAATCAAGTAACTGAGGTGTTTTCCTACAGGAAACACGAGTGACTTGGATTCTGGGCTTTTAACTTTTTTCATTTTCTGAGTATGCCACCTACTGATGGGAAAGGAAGGCAGTAACGAATTCCTGAGCTTATCCTTTAGGATGCTAAAGGAGACAGGAAGGATGTCCTTCGAAGACAGACAAAAAGCAACAAATTCATTAGCAAAAAAACCCTTCATAGTTTACAAGAAATAGCAACTTAGAATAAGGCAGGCAGCTCATCTACTCTACTTGAGCATGATTTATTTTTGGACCTTAGGAAACCTCTCTGACTTGAGGACCAAGCAATCCTTTTGCCTTCTGGACTTCTTCACAGCCTTTCAACAGGCAGACTGTAAGACTGGACTCCTTTTCTGAGCCCGTATTGGGGTTATTCTGTGAAATTCAAAGAACCTTCAGTATCAAGGGAAGAAAAGATGAGGTGACTGGTCATACCTTTGTAGTATGGCAGCAGGTCCTCTTTAATGGATCCAGCAACGGACTCGTAGATTTTGCCTTTCCTCTGGAGGATGACTTTTTCGATCTCCCTCATGATGAAGTCTATCTGCAAGAAGAACTTCAGATGCTTGACACCACGGTTCAGTTGTAAAAAATTATCTGTGCTAACAACCTGATAGCAACAATCTCATGAAGACAATTTAAAGTGCGGCATTCAGCAGATAACTGATGCCAGTGGGCATCACCTCTTCATCGTGCTCTGACTTAATGTGGAAGATGTGCCTTCCAGCTGAACATATTCTATCCTATGCTGTCCTAATGTCCAAGTGGGAAGTTTTATGCCTGGATACAAGAACTAGTGAATGGGCTCAACACCCTCCTCAGTACTACGCTTGCTAAAGACAAGGTGGAATGTCTCCTGTCTGCCTTTCTCACCTCTACAGGATCTTGAAAAAGAGCCAATCATGTCAACAGGTCTTACAAAGAAGGTGCTTTCCCCCTGTCGCCTCTCCTGGAGCTCATTCTTGCTTGCACAGCCCCTCGTGGTCCTCCCTCTCCCCTCACAAGACGACCTCACCTCCTGCTGA